TTATTGTTATTGGTATCATTATTATTATCATTATCATTATCATTTTCATTATTGTTTTTATTATTATTATCATTATTATTATTACCATTATTATTATAATCATTATTATTACCATTATTATTTTTTATTTTTATTAGTATCATTATTTTTATCATTATTATTATTGGTATCATTATCATTATCATTCTTGTTATTATTATCATTATTATTATTATTATCATCTTTATTATTATTACATATTATTATCATTATTATTGTTATCATCTTTATTATTATTACATATTATTACCATTATTGTTATTATTATCATTATTACTATTATCATTATTATCATTATTATTATTATGATTATTATCGTTATTATTATTATTATTATCATTATTACTATTATCATTATTATCATTATTATTATCACTATTATTATCATTATTTTTATTATCATTATTATCATCATTATTCTTATATATACATATACATATTATTACTATTATTATGATATAATGTGTGGCAATTAAATGGAAAACATTTTTTTGTCTATCTATAGATGAACTACCTATTGAACATGGTGATTTTCCATAGCCTAGCTATGTTATCACCAAACGGGAACTCAACACGTTAAGACAGAGCCGGTTCCAAGGGCAACCCTTGTTGAAAATCCGAGGCATGAGCTGTGTAGGTCGGTCTGACGACGTTTGGTATGACACAAGGTACAGGCATGTACCGGATAAAGCGCATACAATCTACAACATACATATATAGACATACAGTATATATATATATACATACATAGACACACATATCTATATATATATATTATAATATCGTTAGTAGATCTGTATTCCGGGAATTGGATGAAGGGAAAATCAAACAAGGGCCTGCCATATGTGGGCGTGATTTCAACCATAAAAAGATCCCTCAAAGCAAACCTGGTGACGCAGGAGAAAGCCAGCGAAAGCTTGGAAACCCCAGAAGGCGGTGCAGCCAAAGAAGCTGTCAAGGACTGTGAATTTTTGTGCGGAAGTGGTAGTAGACTTGGCGTGCAAAGAATCACAAAATGTCAATCGAATTGGTGGTTTCAAAATGTTTCAGATATTTTTTTCAACAAAATTATATATTTGTGATGATGAACCCCAATGACTTCCCTCCCACCAGGAGGATGATATCGCTCCGCCAGATGTAGCTGGGCACAAAATTACTGCATCTGAGTATTGTTCTTGCTCATGAAGTCAAAGCGTACAGACAGAGGACATGCGCCGATGAAGTTTCTTTATGAATGGAACCATGAATAGCCGGGCAGAGAAAGTGATTTGATTAGCCTGCAATTTGTTTCGCTGGGACATGGCCAATTACATGGGAGTTTTGAGAACGGCTGCCAGGTGGACAGCGAACATGGTGAACCTTCCCCGTCTGCCATCCAGACCATGTGGGAGATGTCTATCACGTGTCTTGGATGCGAGCGTGAAACTCACGGAAGGGTTGGTGGAGCGCTCTACCATGCTTTCCCGATCTTTCCCGAGGTATTTGAAAGTCAAGTTCTTTTTCATGTTTTGTGCGCTCCTGATTGTTCCCTTTGATGCTTGGCGGCAGTTTTGTGCATTTCCATTCGACTCCGGGCTCGTGTAGAATGGATGGAAAAGGTGTACAATACACCAGCAAGTGGAGGCTTCGAAACAATCTGGACAACCAAGTCTGGGGTGAGAACGTCAGGGAACATCAGCCAGCATCTTTTAAGGCGAATTTCGCCTTCGCACCCTGGGGAATTAGAAGGGAACCGTTGAACCATGGCATAGAAAAATCATTCCGTCCAACGCCCTGTTCCATTTCTGTAGGGTGACAACATACAGCACTACCGATATGTACAATATTGTATAATGTCAACCCCGGATTCCGAATTGTCAGAAATTGCGACCTGTAGTGGTACCATCTGAATTGAACCGCCCAGAGGTTTATTGATCTGGGATTGACATCAATATGAATGATATAAATACACGCCTACACGCCTACACACATACGCACATTCTCAGCACGCACACACACACACACACCCCCACACCCCCACACCCACACACCCACGCACCCACGCACCCACGCACGCACGCACGCACGCACGCACGCACGCACGCACGCATGCACATACATACTATTATACATGCATGCATACCTACATACCTACATACCTACACACCTACATACGTACATACATAAATACCTACATACCTGCATACGTGCATACGTGCATACGCGCATACGTGCATGCGTGCCTACGTGCATACGTGCATATACGTGCATACGTGCATTATGTGCATAATGCATATGTGCATACGTGCATACGTGCATACGTACATACGTGCATACGTGCATATATAATATGTGCATACGTACATACGTGCATACGTGCATACGTGCATACGTGCACGCGTGCATACGTGTATACGTACATACGTCCATATATACGTGCATAAGATTGCATAAGTGCATACAAGCATACGTGCATACGTACATACGTGCAGAATGCATACCTGCATACGTACATACGTGCACAATGCATACGTGTATACGTACATACGTGCATATATACGTGCATAAGATTGCATAAGATTGCATAAGTGCATACGTGCATACGTGCATACGCGCATACGTGCATGCGTGCATACGTGCATACGTGCATACGTGCATACATGCATACGTGCATACGTGCATACGTGCATACGTGCATACGTACATACGTGCATACGTGCATAATACGTGCATACGTACATACGTGCATACGTGCATACGTGCATACGTGCACGCGTGCATACGTGTATACGTACATACGTGCATATATACGTGCATAAGATTGCATGAAGTGCATACGCGCATACGTGCATACGTTCATACGTGCAGAATGCATAGCTGCATACGTACATACGTGCACAATGCATTCGTGCATACGTACATACGTGCATACGTGCATACGGGCATACGTGCATTATGCATTCTCGCATACGTACATATATTGCATACGTGCATACGTGCATATACATACGTGCACACGGGCATACGCGCATACGTGCATACGCGCATACGTGCATAAACGTGCATACGTGCATTATGTGCATAATGTGCACACTTGCATACGTACATACGTGCATGCGTGCATACGTACACAAGTGCATACGTGCATACGTGCATACGTGCATACGGGCTTACGCGCATACGTGCATACGTGCATACGCGTTTACGTGCATATGTGCATACGTGCATACGTGCATAATGCATATGTGCATACATGCATACGTGCATACGTACATACGTTCATACGTGCATACGTGCATACGCGCGTACGTGCAAAATGCATACGTGCATACGTGCATACGTACATACGTGCGTATGTGCATAATGCATACGTGCATACGTGCATACGTGCATACGTGCATACGTGCAGATGTGCATACGTGCATACGTGCATACGTGCTTCTTGCATACGTGCATACGTGCATAATGCATGCGTGCATACGTACATATGTGCATACATGCATACGTGCATACGTACATACGTTCATACGTGCATACGTGCATACGCGCGTACGTGCAAAATGCATACGTGCATACGTGCATACGTACATACGTGCGTATGTGCATAATGCATACGTGCATACGTGCATACGTGCATACGTGCATACGTGCAGATGTGCATACGTGCATACGTGCATACGTGCATACGTGCATACGTGCTTCTTGCATACGTGCATACGTGCATAATGCATGCGTGCATACGTACATATGTGCATACGTGAATATACTGCATGCGTGCATACGTACATACGTGCATACGTGCATAGGTGCATACGCGCGTACGTGCATAATGCATACGTGCATATGTACATACGTGCATACATAACTTACTAAGCGATAAAACCTTTGAGAATGGCACCAACAAAGTTTTTTTTTTGTGCTGACCATGGAGAGATATTTGCAGTTTGTCAGAGACCCAAGGTGCTTATGTCTCAGAAAAAACACGCAGAAAAACCACAATTTGATCGAGAAGATGGTGAATCCGACGAGGCTGATGCACCTTGGACATGGGACGCCATGGAAGAAAAAAAACATTGTTTAGCGCATGGCCTCATTTAAGTGCCATGGTCAAAAGATGAATAGCATTTTGGTTCAAACCTCCCCGGGGTAATGCTGGTTTAGTGGTGGCACACACACCACTTGCTAATTGGACCATGGAATTTCCTTCGGATGCTCCTGGGTTTGCCTACCAACTGGCTAAGCTGTATTCATGTCGGAAATCTGTGTGCCCTTGTGATGTCATCTACACGTGTGAAATTGTTCACAGGCGGGTTTTGACTATGTCACATGAATGGGTACTTGTTTCTGGTGAGATTCTTCAAGAAGGACCACGAGTATTTGACAACTACTTTGGGAAGTCATTTCTGAAGAAGACGTGTGCTCATGATTTGGACAAACACATTGATGTCAGGATTTCGACTGACCAATGGGAACACGTGGTTGCAAAATCAAGCCGATTTCTTGTGGTTGGTGCTGTTTACCAAAACGGCATCCTTGACACCACTGGATCCAAGTCAGGGGTTGCCGCTGCATGTGATGCTCGTACAGGTGATGGCGATGAATCCAAAGCAGTTGTGTTTGAACTCTTCTCAGGTGGCTTCAGTGGATGGACTCAAGCCATGCGTAGACTGACTCAACTGGGACATCCATTTGAGCACAAGGCTGCCATTGACATTGACCAAATTTGTTGCGAAACCTTTTGCAAATCTCATGGGATTGAAAGGCTCATTGGACCCTCCAATTTTACGTGGGGAAGAGATCAGCTACCGCCAAGTGTCATGATTCAAGGTGATGTTTCAGAACATGGTTGGCTTCATCTCCTTTCCAATGTTTTATTTGATGTTGGCATCATGAGCCCTCCTTGCCCAGCCTGGTCGTTTGCAACTAGTCTCCCCGGGCTCTTACGCGAAGATGGAAGGTTGAGTCTCCATGCTTGGGGTGTCATGAGTCTCATTGCACCCCGTGTTGTGGTAATGGAGATGGTGGCAGGCATGAAAGATCATCCTCACTGGCCACTTGTGAGACAATTCATCCAATGGGCAGGTTTTTCGATCAGATACTCTCGCTCCATGAATCTGGCTGAAGTGACACCACAGCAGAGGAATAGACTGATCTTGATTGCAACAAGAGATCATGCCGATGTCCAACCGCACATATGTGTCCCATGGCCAGTGACTCAAAGGCAGACGATGGAATCTTACATGAATATCATGGAACTTGATGAGCCATGGTTGACACAGACCAAAGTGGATCCCTATGTTCTTCAGACCTATTTGGATCCTGCCATGCTTCCAAAGAGTTTGGACCAAAGAGGCAGACAACTGAAACGTGCCAGGAAAGATGTTGAGGAGTATCGCATCAAGCATCCGCACAGTGTGTTTGGCTGCATAATGAGCAATTACTCCTATGGACACTTGTTGCCTTTGACAGCTTTGCAACATTCAGGACTATATGGAACTCTGCTTGCCCTGCCTTCTGGACTCAGATTCCTCAGTGTGCCCGAGATATTGATCTCTCTGACAGCACTGATGCCCTGCTGGTTACCTGATGACCACCGGGCCATTGTCAAAATGCTTGGAAATGCTGTGGCGACTCCCCATGCCTTGGTAGGTTTGACAAATGCTCTTGCTTTCATTTACGAGTTGTCTGGTGTTGAGATTCAAGAACTCCAGATTGAAGCATTGTCAAAGCGCATGACGTCCCAGAACTTGAAATGGTCTTCGAAATGGGGTGGATTCTCATTTGAAATTGATGAGGACATTTGTGCTCCGACAATGTTGATGCACGTCCAGCAAAAAGTTGTCATCAAATCGCCAGTTGACCTTGCCACTTTCTTTGCTGAAAGGGATGTGAACGTTTTGGCTGCCTTACGTGCGTTGTTAGGTATTGCCATGCCGAATGAAATCTTTTTCTTGCCAGGAGGTGACCTTGAGGCCAGAATCAGACTGTTACCACAACTCCATGTTGACAATCACGAGATTCAATTGTTCACTGGTGTTCCGACGTCTCTGAACATTCCATCAAATGCTTTTTCGACTGCCGAAGCCAACTCTCCGTGCATCATTGTCTTGACAAAGGCAGGACCACATGTTGTGAGAAGGGACCATGGCATGACCATACAAGATGTGACGTTGATTGTGGATCACAACTTTGGCATTCGTTGCACACACTTGGTTGGAGTCTTTGGAGAAAAGCACCCGCCTCTCATGATCTGCCCAGATGCTGTCATTGCGATGGATTATGAATCTTTTCCTGATGATTTGGAAATTTTTGATTTCATTGATGTACAAGTCGATGACCAAGGGCTGTCCTTTGTCTCAGATTGGACTGTGCTGAAGGATTTCTCAACTTTTCTGCAGAGAACGACCCTGAGTGACATCATGCAGGCTCTTGGATGGATGCTGGTTGTCGATGCACAGTCGGCCGTGAATGATGATATCAAAAGATTCATGGTGGTGCGACGCCCCTCAACACTTGCGATTTCTCTCGATGACTTAGTGTATTGCTTGGCCATTCATTTGTTTCTCACCAAGATTCGCTTGTGGACTGTTGTCGGTGAAGCGCCCAGAGTCAGATGCAAAGTCAAATTGTGGCACGTGTGGATTTGGGATGCTCTCATTGACCCCGCCATGTCGCTCTCCCTGTTTGAAAACGAGTGGAACAAGATCTCAGAGCTTTTCAAGTTCCAAAAGCCCTGGCGATTCATTGCCAATGGCAGGCAATTGAACCCTGAGTGGCCCTTGTCAGGATTTGTTAACTCTGATGAAATGGGAAACAGTGAAATCACAATCTTCATGATTTTGGGCTTGCGTGGAGGAGGTGGCCTGGTGAAGTTGTTGTCCAGCGAAGATGTTGAAGTATCAGGCAATTTCAGAGATTTAGCCCATTTGGAGTCCAGCAACTATGAGGCTGCGATGACTGTTGCTCTCACACAGGTGATGGAATTTTGCAGTGAAAGGACGTATCATGACATCACTGAATTTCTCGAATTGTTTGGTGCTATGACAGAAGGACTTTATTCGATCAATGGACCATTTCAGCTGCTCAAAAGATTTCTTGACTTCATGAAGAGAACTGGCATTGAGAAAGCGATTGCCAAGTGTGGATGGATCATCGCATGTCATTTTGAAAAGGTCCTTCATCCTGAAATTGCGCAGATTATCTTTGTGCAGAAACCCAGGGGACCAACTACGTCATTGGCTTTCATCAGGTGCCTACTCAGGTCTGCTTTGGTTTTTCTTGGAATGCCGAAACCCGTCCAATGTGTCGATGCTGTGTTGACAAAGGTGAAAATGTGGAATGCCACGATTTACCATGGACTGTTACCACGCATGTTTCCCATGCAAGACTTGCTCGACTTGTGGGACCAGGCATCCACGGTGGTTGGAGATCATTTTGAAGTCAGAATGGTCAGCCACGTTGGTGTGGTCAATCCTGACTTTGCTCTCAAAAATTACTCGAGATGTGGGTCTGATGACAAAACAAAAGCAGTGATCACGTTTGTTGGCACTCTCAGAGGTGGTGGCCCATCACCCAAAGATCCGGCTAACGTCCAAGCATTGAATGTGCAGCAAAAGAATGCATTAGCTGGCTTTCTTTTAGCCCAAGGTGCAGATTTGAAGGAATGTGTGTCCTTCATCGAATCTATCATCCGGAATGCAGGTGCCAATGCGGTTGCCAGTGTGCTCAACCAAAAGGCTGCTGCCAAAAAGTGGGATGGATTGATGGAGTTATCAAGTGCTCTTCACATACCATTGCCTCAATTGGGTGAGAAGATGAAGCTAGCAAAGAAGAAAATGCAGAAAAAATTTCAATCACATTCAAAAGCCCTCCCAGCTCATATCCCTGTGGAAAGCCTGGTCGTGCAGAGCGGATTCTTGAGAAATGCTGATGAATCTGAATGCCAGCAGATTTACAAAATTGCCCCCAATGTCTCAGGTGCGGTCCTTATGCGCTTCCAAGATGCCAAACCTTGGCTTGAACGACAAGCAATTTTATCCCAGGATGAATTAGCTGTGATTGTGATTGGACCTTGTGGACATGGTGATTCCTTGGACTGCTGTCCTATTCAGTTACCTGTGAATGTCAGCGGTGAACCATGCATTCTCAAAGCGTGCCTTCATCAGGTTGGTGCCAGACATGTCACATTTGTGAATGATGATGACAGTTCGATACCCGGCAATGAAACTGTTGTTGTATGTCTCACTGCTGTGAAGGATGAAATGCAAAAAGAATGCTGGGAAAGCGTCATTCAAGCCCCTGTCAGACAGATGTTGAAGCTGCTTGGAGATGAAGTTGCAGACATTCCTTTCATTGCGCCACCTTGGGGTCGCTCCTTTCAGAGGAACTCCAAGAAGATTGCTCCTGAACTTGCCCATACTGTGCAATTCCATGCTAGGATCAACCAGTCAGACTTGCGTGCATACCTGAGATCATCTGGAAATGGTGGTGTCTACACGTGCCCAAAGACGGAGGACAAGAAAATTTCTTCCGACTATCTGGTAGTTTGGCTGAAAGTCAGTGATGTTGACATGGCTGTCCATTTGTCCCAGTGTGAAAATCACTTTGGTCTGGTCAGAAGTTTCAAAGGTGATTCACAAGCAAAAGGAATCAGATTTGTGAAAGCCGACTTTCCAGCTGCTTTTGCCAAGTTGAGACCGCATGACAAGATGCCAAATATGATCTCAATCAATCATTTCTTCCGTGTTGAGCCCGTTCCCACTGGATCGACGGCAGAGCACATCCAGTCTTGGATTGATCTCCATGGCTGGAAAGCAAAACCTGTGAGACCGCTTGGTGCGAATACGTGGCTATGTGGTGCTGAACGGAAATTTGAAGGGCAATTTCCACAGTGGAACAACAAACCTGTTCTTGTCAAATGGGTACAGAACAGGAGTGACCAAGAACCAGTCATTCTTGCCGGAAATGTGCAAAGACTCCTGTCGCAGGCATCAGGTGAAATTGTTGCAGCCATACCCACTGACCAACACTCTCAGGAACCTGATCCCTGGGGAAATTGGATCAAAAACCATGGAGGTACAGGACTTGCACAACCTGGAGTGGCCTTCAAGACACCACTGATCACAAGTCCCACTGTGCAACCGCCGAGAAGGGTTGAAGCACCGATCGAAGACAAGTTCCAGCGCCAGGACGAATTGATCCAGCAAGTTCGTCTGGATAGCCAAAAAGAGATTGCAGACATCAAAGATAATGTACTTCGTCTTGAGAAGGCGTTAGAAGCTCAAAAGATTGTTGTGGAAACCAACATGGAAACGACCGCATCGGAGTTTGACAAGCTTCGTGTAGAGACTGGACATCAATTCCAATCGATGGCTGACCTTTTCAAGGACAGTCTGACCCAGGCAATCTCAAATCATGATGGAACCATGGCTGCTCAGTTTGCTGAGTTGAAGCAGATGATTGCTGCTGGCTCTTCCAGAGGTTCACCAGCAACGAAAAAACAAAAGCAGAACAGTGCCAACGGAGATGGTGATTTATGACTATACCATGAGGCTGTGTGCCTTCTGCGCTACAAGTGCTTGATGTGGTATGATCATTTACTATTTTCAATTCAGAGCCTATGCTGGTCAGACGATGCCGCAGGATCGATCATCGACTTCTCTGGCCATAATTCATTTGTTGTGCCCTTTGCTCTCACCACCAAAGACGTAGGATCACTTCCTTGCTTTGTCAAGCATGATGGTGATTTTTCCCTTTTGCATTCCTGGATGGCTGCTCGATATCTATCTTTTTTGATGTCTCAGTTGATTTTGATTCCGATGATGTTTTTCTCCATGTTCTTTGCATGCTGTGTCGGTGAAGCAGACAATCCGGGACCAACCAAAGCTTGCACCAGATTTGCCATTATCAATCCAACAGCGGTGTATGGAAAATTGGACAAGATTCGTGCCTTTGAAGCCGATGCAATTTTTGTTTCAGAGAGTAGTGCCACTACGGTTGTTCAGAAAGATTGTACTCATGAGCTTGCAAAACATAGGTATAGTTCTTTTTGGTCCCTGCCGGTTGCAGCCAAAAAACAGACATTGGATAACAGACCTTCTTACAGGGGAGAGGCGGTTGGATCAGCCATCTTCTCCAAACTCCCTGCTAGAAAAACGAGGTGTGAAATCCATGAAAGTCTTTGGAACACCCAAAGGTTTTCCACTTGCATTCTTAGATTTGGTAAATTTGAGATCTTAGCTATCGCTATTTACGGTTTTGCCAACAGACACAAAGAGGGCATTCGTCCCAATGACATTTTCCTGGCCAGTTTGATACCGGTTATTGAACGGGTTGGACTGCCTTACATCATTGGTGGTGATTTCAATGAAGTTTTGACGAAGTTGCCATCCTATAGATATTTTCAAGAGTCCGGTGCTATTGAAGCATTTCAATGGTATCGGTTGAAGTATGGTACTGATTTACCAGCGACCTGCTCAGGATCAACTCGTAATGACACGGCTATTATGCATCCGATGATTGCTGAGTTTGTTTCTGCCATGTCTGTTCCTGCTCAGTTTCAGATGGATGTGCATACACCTCTTTTCATTGACTTTGACCTGTCTTTGAATGAAAGTGACAAACAGACGTGGGTACTCCCTAAGACATGGGCAACCTTTGCTCCTCCGCCAGAATTGATTGCTCAAGAGTACTGCAGTATGGACTTCAACTCCCTCTTGCATGAGGAATCCATTTCTGTTGGGCATGTTGAGGATGCTTTTCATGCATGGTCCAGACGTGTAGAACATGCTGTTGATAAGGCCATCCAAAAGCAGCATTCTCATGACCCCATCAAGCATCCGATTCCCTGTTTGCATCGTGCGTTTAAGGGTAGATGTTCCTTCAAAAAGACAAGAGAATGTATCAAACGACAATCCGTTAGGAACGATCGACATGGTGGATTTACCCCTGCTGAAGAAGTGTTTTACCTTCGAACTAAATTGAAAGTCCGACAGGTCCGACGCATCAAATCGTTGATAAGAAGACTGAAGTCGTTGAGCTCTAATGACTCTGGCGCTCATGATGTTCAGATCAACAATGAATGGAAGAAAATTCTCTCTGCAAAGGGCTATGGTCATTCATGGAAGAACTGGATACTTGGGTTTGACTGCATCGAATATATTCCTGTGGAATGCATTCCTGATGTTGATCTACTCAGCACTGTTGACCAGATCACTGAACATGACTGTAACCATGCATGCTTTGCTGAAGCGCGATATAGATCGGACAAATTCAAAGCCATGATGGAAATTGACCAACAAAGCGATTTTTGCAAAACAACTTATAAGATGCTGAAGGCAAAGAAATCCGAAACGCTTGCAGAAGTTCCAGCTTGCTGGCATATCCGGGCAAAACTCCTGAGATCCAAACCAGGATCCAATGCCATTAAGATGTCAGAAAATTGTGTTATCCCCTCATTTGCAACTCTGCATTTTGGTGAAGCGAAGATTGCTCTTTTGAACCAAGACGGAGACAAGATTTTCTTCAAAACACTTGATGGTATTGTCCCTGCTGAAGGAATTTTAAAGGTTGAGTTTGTCGCAGTGACTGTACCGGAGATCTGCCAAGAGTTTCGTAATTTTTGGGCTCCTATGTGGCTACGTGACAAACAGCAAGATCAATTTGATGCATCCTCCTGGGGTGATTTTGAGACGATTTTGAGGGATACGGCACTTCCTGAGATTCTTCCGATCAGCTATCCCTGGGATGACTTGCAGTTGTGGCGTCACATTATTAAGAAACTGCCTTCAGCAAAAGCCATTGGACCTTGTGGCTGGTCTAATGATGAGATTAAATCCCTTCCTGATTCTTGCATTTTTGATCTCATCCAGATTTTCAAGCTTGCTGGCAAAACAGGCTTTGGTCCTTGTATGATGACCGCCAAAACCATTTTACTTGCTAAGGTGCAAACTCCTCAATCAATGCATCATGCACGGCCCATCACAATTTTGAGCTGCTTGTACCGGTTGTACGGGAAGTTCATTTTTCGTGTCACTGCTACTATTTGGAAGAACCATTTTGCCTTTGACATTTCTGGTGGCTTACCTGGTCGTGGTGTCAAGGAGTTGGCATACGCACAAAAAAGAGCCATCGAAGATGCCATGTGTTCCGGAAGCAACCTTGGTGGGTACTCTCTGGATCTTATCAAAGCCTACAACACGTTTGGAAGATTTGCCATAGGCAGGATCATGGTGAGATTGGGAATGCCATCTGAACTTGTCTCAGCCTGGATTCATAGCCTTGATAAGATGGTGAGATTCCCGACAATACAGGGTTGTGTTGACAAAGGGATTTCCGCCACGACTGGTGTTCCAGAAGGGTGTTCTATAAGCGTTTTGTCAATGCTTGCAACCTCTTGCTTGTACCATTCACGCTTGCAGTCAGATTCAGTTCGTCCCTTTGCATACGCCGACAATTGGAGCTGGATGGTTAAGGAACAGCGTGCACATTTCTCAGCCTATCAGCTTACTTTGAATTTGGTTGATGCGTTGAAACTGGACATTGACCACAATAAGAGCTGGCATTGGGCGATCAAAAAGCAACACAGAGATTTTTGCAAAACATTTTCGATCCCGAACTCGGATGCTGAGGTTCAGGTAAAAACTGCTGTGAAAGACTTGGGTGAGTCTGTTTCCTACAACAAAAGTGCCTCTCTTGGCTTTATCAAAGATAAAATAGATGAGGCTGTCACTCGTTTGCATCGTCTGGAATGGATGTCGGCGCCCCTTTCCCTCAAGGCGAGGTTAATTCAATCAAGTATTTGGCCACTTGCATTGTATAGCTCCGATACGTCTTATATTGGACAACAGCATTATACTGCTTTGAGACGTGCAGCGGTTAACGCTCTGGTTGGCAAATGGCACAACTCTTCGCCTATCATTGCCTGTTCTTTCTTGTCAAAATTTTTGACCGACCCATTCCTCTACACCATTCTGCAATGTCTTAGAGTTCTAAGAAGAATGGCCACGAATTCATTTGCGTTAGCACAGGAGACCATCAGACTGTCAGTGTCTTGGAGTGGTACAAAGCCGTTTGGACCAGCTACGGCAGTGAAACAATACTTCCACCATACAGGTTGGACGTTGTCTGAAGATGGAACTATCACTGGTCCTGAATATATCACTTGCAATGTCTTGAAGGATTCATGCCGGTATATTGCCAAGTCAATCAGGCAGATGTGGGAATTTCATATTTTGCAATTGATTGACAGGAAAGGTGTTGGAGACTTCATCCCTGACCTCCGAATTTTCCACTCTGTCTTTAGCAAATTGACTGACACTGAACAAAACCTTGTGAAACTCAACGTTGTGGGAGCATTTCAAACTCAGATGCAGAAGTCCAAATGGGATAAAGATTGCTCGGCTGAGTGTGAACTTTGTGGTGGGGAAGACACTAGAGAACATCGTCTCCTTCATTGCCCCAAGCTTCAATCAATAAGAGATGTGCATGTTGATGCATGTGCCAAACTTGCGAATGAACGTCCGGAGTGGGTATTTTTTCCCATCCCGAGGACATTTGATCAGGCTACACTTCTTAGAGCGTATATCATGACTGTGAAGCGACCTGATATATCTCCTCCGCATCAGATCCATGATGATTTTGTGCGTTTTTTCACAGATGGTGGTGCTCGGTTCCCGAGAGAACCAACTGCAAGAATTGCCACATGGGCTGTGGTTCAGGATATTTCCGAGTCTTGTGCACAACAAAAAGATGTGATGGATTTTTTATTCACTCATGAGCCGGCATTCCCTCTTTTTAAAGTGTCTCAGATTGGGATTGTGTATGGGGAACAGACGGTGGCAAGAGCTGAACTTGTTGCGTTTCTTGTTGCTGTCAAGAAAACTCACATGATTTCACCTCTTCCTCGTGCTGAATTTGTCACGGATGCATCCTATGTTTGCAAAATTGTGCAGCTGATCGAACTTGGATTTGCCTCTGCGATATTACATCGACTCAATAACTGTGATATTATTGCTGAACTCGTGAACCTGTGGCAACCTCACAAGTTCATTGTCACTAAAGTAAAAAGCCATAGAAGTTTCTCCTCTGCAAAGGATCACCGTGATCTTTGGCTTATTGCCGGGAATTATTGCGCAGACATCGCTGTCGGTGCTGCGAACAGCTTGATACCGGGTGAAATTTGGGAGCTTTCCAATGAGTGTATTTCACATTGCGAATCCGAAAAGCGAAGCCTTTCTGCACATATGAAATATCTCACTGATTTCAACAGAGAGAGATGCCGATTTCTTGAAGAGGCTAAGTGTATTGACCTTTCCACTTCATTGATTCGTGCAAAACCAGACAGTACCCGTCATGTTGGTCTCTTCGATTCACATGCCATGGGCTGGGATGCAGTTGAATGTATGAAAAAATTCTGTCCTGCTGACTACGTGCAAAGACCTTCAATTGATTGCGATGATGATGTTTATCACAGATGCTTACAAGGAGCGAACATTGCTAAGTCTTTCAAGACTTTTTGTGAGACCTTGAAGTGGCCTCCTGACCTTGTTGAGGATTATGATGCCAAAAGCAAAGGTGACTGGGGGATTTCTTGGTTTGAGATTTTGACAAGTTTTTATTTGACCACGGGCTGGCGATGTCCGATTAAGACTTCTGGTTCGGGGGCCAAGGCTGAGTATATCAGCTATGGTGATCCCAAAGCTATTTTGCTTCCTGACTCCAAACGTACAGTTTCATTACAGATTCTTTGTCTGCGAAACCTCATGCAGAACGTTTCGACGATTGTGGAGGCTGACATTCTGCCTAAATTTTCTTCTTACAAGTGTTTCTCGATGTCGAGAATTGGATTGAAAAGCCCCATTGCGGGGTTACCTTGCAGGCCCATTATCCCGAAACAATCCGAAACCCTGGATTTTGTTTGGCATTACTTTCTGAAACTGAATGGATCGGTTGCTTTGCACAAACCTATCCATGTGAACAACCTTGACATCACCATTGATGTGAACAATTTGGACGAAAAGTTACCGCATGAGCGTTGGTCTTTGAATCAAGCTTTCATGAAGAAGTTGCGTGCAAGAGGTATTGGTGGAGCATAATTCATTTGTCGTTCGTTTCGTTTCGTCGTCGTGCACGGTTATTTCTCTTTTCACTCACCTGTTCCCGCCATCCGTGCATGGGGCAGTTTGTGAGCGTGGATCCCACATGAAGCGCGTCAAAAGATGAATTATATGCTTAATATACCCATATAAGGGATGGTCGTCAATCCATCAATAGGGGGTACCCCATTGTAAGGATTCCATTTTTAGGATGGATGGCCATAAACCATATACCATGTTTTGACCACCCCACATCTAAGATGTCAAATTTGTAGAAGGTGCAAGCAGATATCAGCCACACTCTGCCATACTAGACGTCCTCCAGCCTTCAAAACGTGAATCCTACAGGGAAAATTGCATATGTACATTTGAATGGTTTGGAGGACTGCATGTACAATCAAATATATGTTCACAATAATGTGTATATATATATTTATAAGCATACATATTATGTATGCACATGCAGCTATACATTTTCGTGTATACGTACACTGCATACGAATAAACATGTACATACGTATATAGACATATGCATAATATGCACACACACATATTTTGCAGACATACAGTATACATTTATGTACATTTATAATACATACTACTACATGCATACACACATTACACTACATCACATACAGTACATACAATACATACAACACATACAATACATACAATACATACAATACATACATGCATACATATATACATACCTATGCATACATACATATACACATGATATGGACATCTCTTTTATGCTGAGGTCAATGACCCCCGCGCTCCGATAGCTGACTGAAGCCGGGAGAGGGTGCTGTGTTGGGTTTTCCCTGATGTCTATGGCCATTTTAATTGGCATAATATGGGAAAAAATATGATAAAATTACTTTACTTCGTGTGATCCCCACCATGACATTTATACATTTTGTTACTGGCAAATCTTCTGGCATTCTATCTGACATTTTATCTGGCATTCTATCTGGCATACCTTCTGGCATTCTATCTGGCATATCTTCTGGCATTCTATCTGGCATATCTTCTGGCATTCTACCTGGCATATCTTCTGGCATATGTTCTGGCATATCCTCTGGCATTCTATCTGGCATATCTTCTGGCATATTATCTGGCAATCTTCTGGCATTCTATCTGGCATATCTTCTGGCATATTACCTGGCATACCTTCTGGCATTCTATCTGGCATATCTTTTGGCATATGTTCTGGCATATCTTCCGGCATTCTATCTGGCATTCTATCTGGCATTCTATCTGGCATATCTTCTGGCATATTATCTGGCAAATCTTCTGGCATTCTATCTGGCAAACATTCTGGCACTTTATCTGGCATATCTTCTGGCATTCTATCTGACATTTTATCTGGATTCTATCTGGCATACCTTCTGGCATTCTATCTGGCATATTCTGGCATTCTACCTGGCATATCTTATAGCTTTCTATCTGGCATATCTTCTGGCATTCTATCTGGCCGTTGAGGTCCAGCGGTGCACACTGAGCTGGGCAGGTCCCAGGTTGAGGTCCAGCGGTGCACACTGAGCTGGGCAGGTCCCAGGTTGAGGTCCAACGGTGCACACTGAGCTGAGAAGGTCCCCGGTTGAGGTCCAGCGGTGCACACTGAGCTGGGCAGGTCCCCGGTTGAGGTCCAGCGGGGCACACTGAGCTGGGCAGCTCGCAGGTTGAGGTCCAGCGGTGCGCACTGAGCTGGGAAGGTACCAGGTTGAGGTCCAGCGGTGCACACTGAGCTGGGAAGTTGGCAAAGAGCTTGGCGACGAGTTGGCAAGGCTGGCAAGGCTGGCAAGGCGGAAGTGGAGGTGGAAGAGGCGGAGGCGAGGAGGAGGGCGAGGAGGACAGCTAGTCGAGGAGGAGGAGGAGGAAGAAGAGGCAGCGGGCATGCGCTCTGATAAAATCTAACAACCCTCACCTGGCAGGTGGGGAATGAGGATAATATGGGAAAACGATGACAAATCATCTTTTGGAGATTCTAATCATAACCATTTTTGATGTTTGGTGAACATGATGTTTACGATAGTTGGGTGATGTACGAAAACAAGTCAAGTCTTCAGAGGACCTGACATTGTGCAACGAAACCCGGTCCCAAAGTTGTACAAGTTGTAGCCCTCTCAAAAAGGTTGGCTGATTAGCCAAACATCGTGACAGCTGCTGACCAACCAGCAAATGCTTCGCTGCCAGAAAAAAACATTGGCATACGAAATCAGAGGAGAGTTGCTCTTGCCTTATTTCCTGCAATGGCAAAATTTTTCCATGTGAATTCTAAAAGCCGTTTGTGCTCTCAAATCTCTCCCAGCCTCCCCTCTTCTAACTTTCAGTATGTCTGGCTTCAAGCCGGTGGAGAACCTGGAGGATGGCAGCGAACTTGAGGCTGACGTTTCCTTTCGAATGAAACGGTCCACGTTGAAGAAGACTGCTGTAGCAGTGGCAACTGCTATGGTCGTTTGTGTGGGCATTTTTGCCTTGTCAACGAATGGCTTCAGCCACAACTGCAACAATGTTGGAGCTTTGCAAGGCAAGTCTGCTTTGGATCTTGACTCTGCCATCCGCACCACTAGTGAAAAACTGATTCAGGCAGCCAAGAACAATCAAACTCTGGCTGATGAGACTGTGATGAAGGCCATGGTGAAGGCAGGTCACAAGGTTCAGGACCACTGGGAGAAGCACCACATCCGCAAGTTGGATACTCTTGTGACGATCCGAAAGGTGAAAGGATTCCGCCAAGGACAAAAGGCCGCGCTTGCTGGACGTGCGGAATGCTCCTTCAACATTTTGGAGGCATTTGTCTCAGCAGTGGGTATGGGTGATGACATCAATGCCATCATTCGAACTTGCCCTGCACCTCGTGATGGTGAGTCTGAGTTGGCTTGCCAGGTGAACGGTGGCATCCTGGGTGCTTGGGTGGGCAACCTTGCTACAAAGCTGGCCTTAGCAGCTTCCAATTGTGCGCTGAGCATCAACGTGGATGCCATTTGCTCTGCTGGTGTCACAGGCTTGGTGTCAGCCATGGGAGAGATTGCAGCTGGAGCTTCTTTGGGTGCGGCCGTATGTACCGGAACTCCGCCACAACTGACCACCACCAAGATCAGTGTCCTGGGAGATCAGACTGTCCGGGACAGTCGACGTTTGCTGATTGGAGAAGGCGCTGTCGGCAACGGTGTGCAGTGTGGTGTGGATGTGGGCATGGTGGCAGCCAACATTGCAAACATGGGTCTTGCCATCAACAAGGCCGTGAATGTGAACAAGTGCAAAGCGAGCACCTTCCGTTCACCATTGAACGTGGTCAAGGGCATCCCAGAGTCACTTTGCACCGTCGACATTGGTGGTGCTGTGGCCTACATCGGTCAGGTTGTTACCTTCATCAACCTAATTGTGGTTCACTGTCAGGACTGAATGGGCCTGAGCACAGCCATTTTTATTTTGCTGCCAAACTTTCTTCTTGTTCATCGTTGCTTTCATGAAGTGTTTGGTTTAATCTTGGAACACTCTTCAGGCACTGTTGAGCTTGTTCTGTCTTGAGATGCTGACATGGAAACCCTAGATACCAAGCACATAAACTACTTACTTTAATTACGGTATATTGAATGATGGACTGCAGCAAGTAGTGTCTCGTTACTATTACTTATTACTTATTACTTATTGCTATTACTTCTTACAGTGCCTTCGAATGCCTCAAGATCTTCAGATGGGCTGCAGCGTAGTGTCTTCAGCCAGGACTTTCTGGATGTCAACGCACTTTGTGCTGGCTCCATTGCTGCGATCACCACCGGTGCAGCGGCCATTGCGCCCTACGGCGCAGCAGTGCACGCGGCCTGCGCCAACAACCATTTCTTGAAAACACCCAAGAGTCAAGAACAGCTTTCTGCATTGTGGAATTCCCCGGGCTATGATCCTGTGTCAGGCCTGAAACACCCTCGACGCTTGACGGAGGAGGAAGAGATGGCTGCTAAGCAACCCTTGAAGGAAAGCTTGGCTCAGATCGCAGCGAACCGTGACACTTTGGAGGAGCTGAAGAAGGTGACGGATGTTCCCAAGCCGGGCAACACAGAGGCAGACATGGAGACTCTCTTGAGCCTCATGGGCGGCGAGGACAAGCCGCGTGCCGCCTGGCCATTTGAATGCTAGGTCACGTTGAGAGCCGTGAGGACAGCTTTTCGACGTGTCGCCTATTCTCAGTAAGTGGTCAGATCGTGTCAGAAGATGAAATGCAGCTGACACATCACGGAATCGTAATCATTTTGATTATATTTGAATATATAATTAATAATAGACATATTTGATCCATTTTGATTTTCTTTCTATCAGCTTAAACGCTGTTGGTGCTAGGTCAACATGACCTAGCTACCTGAAATTACCTGGATCATGGATGATTTGGGTAGGCTGTTTTTGGGTTGGTGTGGAATCTCTGCATCAGTAAATCCCTTCCTGTGCTTCTGCTGACCTGACGACAGTCCATGTCGAATGGTACTGGCAAAACCCTGTTGACTGTGGCCTTTGCAGCTTCAAAAAGAGTTGCGAGATCCAGCAGAATGCAGAAAGTGACATCCACATTCCTGTCCATAGTGAAATAGTGAATGAGCGTATACATTCGCATACCAATTGCAGCAAGTCTTGTTGTTGGATGTTGTTGGCACATGGAACGGCGTAACAGGATTGAATCAATTCAATTCCGTGTGTATTAACAGCACCCGATACTTTGGCAACGGCCAGTGAATTTCCATGCGAATTCCATTAGCATCCACAAGCCATTTGTGCTCTCAAATCTCTCCCGACCTCCCTTGCTGTGAAGCACCCTTCTCCCATCTTCTAACTTTCAGTATGTCTGGCTTCAAGCCGGTGGAGAACCTGGAGGATGGCAGCGAACTTGAGGCTGACGTTTCCTTCCGAATGAAACGGTCCACGTTGAAGAAGACTGCTGTAGCAGTGGCAACTGCTATGGTCGTTTGTGTGGGCATTTTTGCCTTGTCAACGAATGGCTTCAGCCACAACTGCAACAATGTTGGAGCTTTGCAAGGCAAGTCTGCTTTGGATCTTGACTCTGCCATCCGCACCACTAGTGAAAAACTGATTCAGGCAGCCAAGAACAATCAAACTCTGGCTGATGAGACTGTGATGAAGGCCATGGTGAAGGCAGGTCACAAGGTTCAGGACCACTGGGAGAAGCACCACATCCGCAAGTTGGATACTCTTGTGACGATCCGAAAGGTGAAAGGATTCCGCCAAGGACAAAAGGCCGCGCTTGCTGGACGTGCGGAATGCTCCTTCAACATTTTGGAGGCATTTGTCTCAGCAGTGGGTATGGGTGATGACATCAATGCCATCATTCGAACTTGCCCTGCACCTCGTGATGGTGAGTCTGAGTTGGCTTGCCAGGTGAACGGTGGCATCCTGGGTGCTTGGGTAGGAAACCTTGCTACAAAGCTGGCCTTAGCAGCTTCCAATTGTGCCCTGAGCATCAACGTGGATGCCATTTGCTCTGCTGGTGTCACAGGCTTGGTGTCAGCCATGGGAGAGATTGCAGCTGGAGCTTCTTTGGGTGCGGCCGTATGTACCGGAACTCCGCCACAATTGACCACCACCAAGATCAGTGTCCTGGGAGATCAGACTGTCCGGGACAGTCGACGTTTGCTGATTGGAGAAGGCGCTGTCGGCAACGGTGTGCAGTGTGGTGTGGATGTGGGCATGGTGGCAGCCAACATTGCAAACATGGGTCTTGCCATCAACAAGGCCGTGAATGTGAACAAGTGCAAAGCGAGCACCTTCCGTTCACCATTGAACGTGGTCAAGGGCATCCCAGAGTCACTTTGCACCGTCGACATTGGTGGTGCTGTGGCCTACATCGGTCAGGTTGTTACCTTCATCAACCTAATTGTAGTTCACTGTCAGGACTGTATGGGCCTGAGCACAGCCATATTTATTTTGCTGCCAAACTTTCTTCTTGTTCATCGTTGCTTTCATGAAGTGTTTGGTTTAATCCTGGAACACTCTTCAGGCACTGTTGAGCTTGTTCTGTCTTGAGATGCTGACATGGAAACCCTAGATGCCAAGCACATAAACTACTTACTTTAATTACGGTATATTGAATGATGGACTGCAGCAAGTAGTGTCTCGTTACTATTACTTATTACTTATTACTTATTGCTATTACTTCTTACAGTGCCTTCGAATGCCTCAAGATCTTCAGATGGACTGCAGCGTAGTGTCTTCAGCCAGGACTTTCTGGATGTCAACGCACTTTGTGCTGGCTCCATTGCTGCGATCACCACGGGTGCAGCGGCCATTGCGCCCTACGGCGCAGCAGTGCACGCGGCCTGCGCCAACAACCATTTCTTGAAAACACCCAAGAGTCAAGAACAGCTTTCTGCATTGTGGAATTCCCCGGGCTATGATCCTGTGTCAGGCCTGAAACACCCTCGACGCTTGACGGAGGAGGAAGAGATGGCTGCTAAGCAACCCTTGAAGGAAAGCTTGGCTCAGATCGCAGCGAACCGTGACACTTTGGAGGAGCTGAAGAAGGTGACGGATGTTCCCAAGCCGGGCAACACAGAGGCAGACATGGAGACTCTCTTGAGCCTCATGGGCGGCGAGGACAAGCCGCGTGCCGCCTGGCCATTTGAATGCTAGGTCACGTTGAGAGCCGTGAGGACAGCTTTTCGACGTGTCGCCTATTCTCAGTAAGTGGTCAGATCGTGTCAGAAGATGAAATGCAGCTGACACATCACGGAATCGTAATCATTTTGATTATATTTGAATATATAATTAATAATAGACATATTTGATCCATTTTGATTTTCTTTCTATCAGCTTAAACGCTGTTGGTGCTAGGTCAACATGACCTAGCTACCTGAAATTACCTGGATCATGGATGATTTGGGTAGGCTGTTTTTGGGTTGGTGTGGAATCTCTGCATCAGTAAATCCCTTCCTGTGCTTCTGCTGACCTGACGACAGTCCATGTCGAATGGTACTGGCAAAACCCTGTTGACTGTGGCTTTTGCAGCTTCAAAAAGAGTTGCGAGATCCAGCAGAATGCAGAAAGTGACATCCACATTCCTGTCCATAGTGAAATAGTGAATGAGCGTATACATTCGCATACCAATTGCAGCAAGTCTTGTTGTTGGATGTTGTTGGCACAAGGAACGGCGTAACAGGATTGAATCAATTCAATTCCGCGTGTATTAACAGCACCCGATACTTTGGCAACGGCCAGTGAATTTCCATGCGAATTCCATTAGCATCCACAAGCCATTTGTGCTCTCAAATCTCTCCCGACCTCCCTTGCTGTGAAGCACCCTTCTCCCATCTTCTAACTTTCAGTATGTCTGGCTTCAAGCCGGTGGAGAACCTGGAGGATGGCAGCGAACTTGAGGCTGACGTTTCCTTCCGAATGAAACGGTCCACGTTGAAGAAGACTGCTGTAGCAGTGGCAACTGCTATGGTCGTTTGTGTGGGCGTTTTCGCCTTGTCAACGAATGGCTTCAGCCACAGCTGCAGCAATGTTGGAGCTTTGCAAGGCAAGTCTGCTTTGGATCTTGATTCAGCCATCCGCTCTACCAGTGAAAAGCTGATTCAGGCAGTGAAGAACAACCAAACCGTGGCTGATGAGACTGTGATGAAGGCCATGGTGAAGGCAGGTCACAAGGTTCAGGACCACTGGGAGAAGCACCACATCCGCAAGTTGGATACTCTTGTGACGATCCGAAAGGTGAAAGGATTCCGCCAAGGACAAAAGGCCGCGCTTGCTGGACGTGCGGAATGCTCCTTCAACATTTTGGAGGCATTTGTCTCAGCAGTGGGTATGGGTGATGACATCAATGCCATCATTCGAACTTGCCCTGCACCTCGTGATGGTGAGTCTGAGTTGGCTTGCCAGGTGAACGGTGGCATCCTGGGTGCTTGGGTAGGAAACCTTGCTACAAAGCTGGCCTTAGCAGCTTCCAATTGTGGTGTGAGCATCAACGTGGATGCCATTTGCTCTGCTGGTGTCACAGGCTTGGTGTCAGCCATGGGAGAGATTGCAGCTGGAGCTTCTTTGGGTGCGGCCGTATGTACCGGAACTCCGCCACAATTGACCACCACCAAGATCAGTGTCCTGGGAGATCAGACTGTCCGGGACAGTCGACGTTTGCTGATTGGAGAAGGCGCTGTCGGCAACGGTGTGCAGTGTGGTGTGGATGTGGGCATGGTGGCAGCCAACATTGCAAACATGGGTCTTGCCATCAACAAGGCCGTGAATGTGAACAAGTGCAAAGCGAGCACCTTCCGTTCACCATTGAACGTGGTCAAGGGCATCCCAGAGTCACTTTGCACAGTCGACATTGGTGGTGCTGTGGCCTACATCGGTCAGGTTGTTACCTTCATCAACCTAATTGTGGTTCACTGTCAGGACTGAATGGGCCTGAGCACAGCCATATTTATTTTGCTGCCAAACTTTCTTCTTGTTCATCGTTGCTTTCATGAAGTGTTTGGTTTAATCCTGGAACACTCTTCAGGCACTGTTGAGCTTGTTCTGTCTTGAGATGCTGACATGGAAACCCTAGATGCCAAGCACATAAACTACTTACTTTAATTACGGTATATTGAATGATGGACTGCAGCAAGTAGTGTCTCGTTACTATTACTTATTACTTATTACTTATTACTTATTACTTATTGCTATTACTTCTTACAGTGCCTTCGAATGCCTCAAGATCTTCAGATGGACTGCAGCGTAGTGTCTTCAGCCAGGACTTTCTGGATGTCAACGCACTTTGTGCTGGCTCCATTGCTGCGATCACCACGGGTGCAGCGGCCATTGCGCCCTACGGCGCAG